TGATATGGTAAGTACTTAGTTACTTTGAATTGCGTTGTTTCTTTAATCAACAAAATAATTTTCTAATTTCCTTCAGAAAAACATACTTTTTTCATACTCTGTCACTTTCGTCGCAAGGGAGCGATATATACATATTTCTTTCTTTCAGTCCGCAATAAATATATAGGCGTAACCAGGTGGCTTGGATCGCAAGCACGAAAATGAAAGATAAACTATTCCAACAAGCGAACCAATCCATAATTTAAAATGTCCCCCTTTGTGCCAACTCCCGTAAATTATTAGACTGGAAATAAAGGTTTCACCCAGTACGTACACGCACTTTTGCGTGTCACACCTGGTATCACGATTGGCTTAAGAACGCGGACTATGTTGCATAAAACGTCCAGGATAACGCAGACGTAAGAAGAAAACAGCTGTACGGAGATCACAAGATTGATTAAATTATGCGTCACATCGTATTTTATAACTACTCACTAACTATTTCTTTCCTTTCCTTCACTCGTTGATCTCAAAGAACATGTCTTTGTAAATTTCACCATCAGTTCTAGAATCTCTTCACTGAAAACTTCTTCTTCTGTTCCAGTATATCGATATATTATAAATAAAAAAAAGTATAAAAAACATATAAAATATTCTATCTTAGAATGCTTGCAAGTAAGCTATCGAAAGAGAATAACGCTGTTCGAGAATTCCCCACGAGTATATATTTTAGAAATTTTCAAAAGGAGTTATAAACTAGCTGAATGCTGGAGGAAGATATTTTTAATTCAGGTTGTCATATCGATAGAAACGATCCTACGAGGAAGATAAATATAACGGAGAGAATTTTCATTTTCTATTTATAAATTACCCTCCCGTCCCTATTATACGCGTTGTTGCTAAAGGGATTTTCGAGAATTACCGCATTAGCGCAGATTCGACGTAAACGAGATGGTAGCAAGCACGTAGTAAAGTAAAAGAAGAACGATCAAAGCTAGAACTTACCAACTAAGTGGCCCTGGTAAATATGTGAGGTGTCCAGGTCTTCCGTTTGACCGGAAGGGCCTTCGATAATTAAGTTATTGCTAAAGGTAGCCAGATCTCGCTTCAATCGGATGTGGAAGTCCCTTCCGTGCGAACGAAACTTCAGAGTCACAGAATTGTCGCGGGTAACCGACCTCTTGGCCCTCAAGTGACCTCGGTGGACCTCTTCAGTGGGGTAAGAGAGAGGTTCGTAGTGGCGAATATATTCGTTCAATCGACGAGCTGCAACAAAAAAATGAACAGATGATGCCTCAGACCGATCTCTAACGATAGTTTAGAGATCATTTTTTAGTATCGTTGGAGGGGGAGGAGATTTTATTTCCATTTTAATTTTTCTTCATTATATAAGGCTTGTTCACGGATTTAAGCTTGTTAGCACATCGACATGCCTTTTGATAATAACTGATTTATTCTCTCTCAGGCAGTTCGCAAAGAACAGTGCGCAATTTTCTTCCAAATTCGGGCTTCTTATTTTCTCACTTCAGTGTGCGAGTGAAAAATGCGTCAAACCGCCTTGGGAATTTTTGTTAAATTTATTTCGCGGATCCACGGTTCCGTTAACTGTTAACGAGACAAAGTGTCCCACAGTGGTTTAGCAATAGTCTTCCTTCAGCTTGATACGGCTCGTAATTTTCAAGGATGAATTTATGTTGGATAGGTTTTCTTTGCGAGGTGCACGACGCGACGAAAGGAAGCAGCGGGACTTCAGATGCGCCATTTATGCATCGTTCTTCCGATTTATGTGCCCAAGGGGAACCTGCGTGTATGTAACTTACTTCTTATCGATGCTTGACAATTTTGAATCGCCTAACACTCGCCGCTGTTACTATTGCCATAGTATACCACGATGGTATATCTGTTTTCTAAGAAATACTATGCAATCATTTATTCATTAATTTTTCTCTCAAGACATATGGCATATTTTTAGATAAGACAGTAACAATAATTGCGACACAATAACGTTTGACACAATTCCTCGTCGTTTATTTGAATGACAGTTCTAATTTGAAGGAAAATCAAATTTCACGAAACTTTATAGCAGATGTTAAATAAAAAAACTTACTCTAAAAACATTGGAAAATTGTTTTCGCAACCAGATCCATCATAATTTTGAAAAATGAAATCTCCCTTTATAACACTTGGAGAACGTGCTGTAAATCTTTTTCATTTTATTAAACTTTAGAGTTAAAAATTTAAGAAATCATAACATTTAGTCCTATAAACCTAATGTTCAAAGCTCAATAAAATAGTGTGAAAGAATCGAAACAGCAGATTTTAAGAGATTTCATTCTTCGAAACCATGATGGATCTAGTCATGAAATTTTTATTGTTTTTAAAAACGTTTGAAAAAAAAGTATCTTTATTATTCGTTACATGATATAACACTGAAAATAAAGTCCTTTATGCTTTAAAATGAAATCAAGTGGATTATGTTTTATGAAATTATTATTATTTTATAAAGTATCGACGAATATATATAATTATAATTCGACAATTTTTCAACGTTATTGATTCAATTATACTTTTCACTCTAAATAATAGGTAAAACGAGTGTATTATAAATATATGTATTCGTCTTGAAGCAGGGTGAAAGTTAGATTTGAGAATTCCACTTAAAAGAAATGATAAGTGATTAACAACTTATTTAATAATTTTGGAAAATCTATTCTAAAACCTATTTCTTCTTAGCTGTCTTACAAACATCAATATTATTGAAAACAAATTTATAGAAAGTAAGTTTCGCTTATTATTTTATTAAAAAACAAATATTGTTTGCGTTTTATGCGTCGATCTTTATCGAAATCATCCATTTCTTACGCGAACTATTTTTTTATATGACAAACATAGTTTACGATTAATTTTCATTTCTAGCTTAAAACCAGTCACCTTGCATATGTACGTATACTATCAATTTCGCGTTAAAATATTGCCGGAAATTGTATTAATATTTTAATATCCAATTATTTTGTTCGAAATGAGCGTTGTCCGGTAATGGCCTTGTAGACGAGAATGTATGTCTTTCCTCCAGGATAAGAGTGGACAGAGGAAAGAAAATATCTCAGGATTAATCCAAAAAGGTTGGAAAGCATAAGTCACGAGAGTATAACGTCATTTCGTTTATCATCGTTTTCCTTCGAGTTACTTGCGTTCCGCAATGTGTAAGACGAAGTCGAGGAAACGGTCCAAGTCCGATAACCAATCATCGTTTCGAAATCGAGGACTCGATAAATGTTGGGACTCGACAACAACGCGAGAATTCTCTTTTCACGGCTGAAATTCGCGTTAAGAACTGTGGGGCAACTTTTCTGCGGCAAACTCGACTACTTACTAATAGGAAAAAGGAGCTAACATTTCATTAAATCGTATAAATCTCGTAATGATTCGCCGCAGGCATTGGATTTAACTTCAATCCGAATGACAGAGCGAGTGAGTCGTGTACGCCTATGACAACAGAGGGGGAAAAAGGCAGGAGCAATATGCTGAAAGCACAGAGAAACGCAGAACGATGGGATTGAGAAACGTGAAATGGTCGTCGCGACGTTCAATTTTCCGAC